AATTTTTACTTTTATTTAATAAAATAGAAATTATAAATAAAAATGCAAATAATAAAAATACAAATATAAAGTATTAAAGCTAGTCTGACAATCTGTTTTTGAATTGGTTTGGTTTAATATGTTGAGTTAATAAAGGTGGTAAAGGCATTTTCTCACGTTTAACTTGTGGTTTGTACCGGAGATATTAGTGGTCCGGGACATTTAAGAAAATGAGCGGACATTTTTGGATAGTGTTCATTGGACATTGTCCAGGACATGTCCATGTCCGCTCAATCTTAAGCGGACATGTCCCGTGTACATAATGGTTGGCCTTTTAGATGGAACCACATCAGGGTTGTTGTCGAAAATATTTTGGAGTATAGAAAAGTCGAAATATGTGACAGTAAAACTCAAATTTTATTTTGTCATTTCACCATATTTATATTATTTTGTCATTTGATATCAATGATACAGCATAGATCATTTTTACTTTTCAGTTTTAAAATAAAATTGTAATTGCACAAGGCCTTTTACTTACGTTTAAAAAAGCCATTTTGGAAATTTAAATATTACTATTACGAAATGATTGCTCCAGAATTTTTTTAAAGGTTTTATTTATTACATAGTATCCTGTCTATGAGTAATCAGAGATCAAAATGGTGGTTGATTTCGATTTCTCGCAGATTTTTTCTTTGGACCATTCCACCAACATAAAAAACTTTTTTTTCAATTCCTTCCTGGAATTTCATTTATACAACCTTTTGAATCAATATCCAATTAAGTGTAAGTACTTTTCCAAATTATTGCATTTCCAATCGCCGTAATGATTGTTTCTCGAGTCCAACCTTTTCTTAACGGGATAAACTTCATACATATAATGCAACATAAATTCCATCAAAATAATGGCTGAAAATAATCTTAATCCATATGATATTATAGATTTAAAATTTTGCTCCTTTGGATATCTAAACTAAGTGTAAATATAAATTTTATATTTATATATTTTGTTGAAAAATGTATGATGATTTAACAAAATTTTTTTAAAATTAAACTTACTTGAGAAACAAAATCATTATAAGTAATAATAGGCCCAGCAAGATATAAAGGTGTGTATAATATATACGATAAATAATAAATATAGTTGTAATCTTCTTTGAAGCAAGGATTTATGATTCTACTTTTATCTGATAACAATGAACTATTTTTATCAATTTTCTAATGTATTTGAAATAAATTATCTTAATTATTAATTAATAGTTGTCATGAGTAACCTTCATATATTTATATATATATAACATTTACATTGGGTTCTCCCAAAATTACCTCTCTTGTATCATTAGAAGAATGAAATGACCAATAATAATCCATATTATAAGATATAATTCTTAACATTGAAAAATTAAATGTAATATTCCATCTCGGTAATAAACCTTTATTTAAATCCTTTTAAAAAAAAAAATTAGAAAAAAATCAAAATTCAACCTGGAGTAACAATAATTTAACTTACTAAAAATCCAAGTCTTTCATCCAACATTTCGAATCTATAACCATCATAATTTTCGTTTAAAAATAATATTGTTAAATTAAATATCCAAGTTATCACAGGATTTAATTTTGAACCTTTAAAAATCATTGATATCAGGTAACTTAAAGTTAATATAATTAATATCTTAATAAAATAATACAGTAGTATTATTTTGAATTAATAATAGTAGTTATAATAATATTTAGAATTTAAATTAAAATTAGCAATCGCGGGTGATTTTT